AATTGTTATAATGATCTCTTAGAGGAAAGGTGAGATATAAATTTAATTAATAAATAAATTGATCTATTTAGTTCAATTCCATGTGGAGATGCCCAAGACTGAATCAGAGATATTTCTGTATACGCTGAACTTGGTTTTTCCCCTTGTTGTGACAGGCACGTTAGAAATTGATAAATATATGATAGATAAATAAATAAATAAATAAATAAATAAATAAATAAATAAATACTTTTACATAATGCATTTTAGTGAAACAGAAGGTATCGACTGAGTTATCAGCCTTGGTATACCCGTGTCCAACTATGTAACATTCTCTGCTAATGCTTAATACAATAGTAGTCATTTTTGATACATTTTGGCCATATGCCACAAGCACAATCAAAGCCCAGTTTTAACCCAAGCATGCTATGCAAGATAGGACCTCTAAACCAGCAAGCCAGTATTCTGGTCAACTAAGAGGTACACATGTACTGACAAACGTTTATACAAAATAAAGAAGAAAATGTAGAACTTGCTCAGTTCTGCTCAGATGAACTTGCTCAGATGGCCAAAATGACCTGTTTGATTAGAGAAAAGAAAATTATCTACATTTATTGATGACTGGAAACCCCTTATGGACTTTTTGTGTAAAACAGAAAAAAAAATAACTTATGATTTATGGTTTTGATGATTAGATAGGATAGATTATAGAAAGAAGAGAGACACAATGTAACTTTAGAGACAGAGGTAAATCTACAATTGTACTTATAACTGCTGTAAAGAAGATCAGAAGCCACTTCTTTATATCTTTTTTCTTTCTTTTCTATTTTTCTTCTATCTTTTTTGATTAGAGAAAAGAAAATTATCTACATTTATTGATGACTGGAGACCCCTTATGGACTTTTTGTGTAAAACAGAAAAAAAAATAACTTATGATTTATGGTTTTGATGATTAGATAGGATAGATTATAGAAAGAAGAGAGACACAATGTAACTTTAGAGACAGAGGTAAATCTACAATTGTACTTATAACTGCTGTAAAGAAGATCAGAAGCCACTTCTTTATATCTTTTTTCTTTCTTTTCTATTTTTCTTCTATCTTTTTTTTCTTTTTGCACTTTAGCTTTCTCTTTTATTTCTTCCTTTTTTATTTTTTTTTTCTTTCCTACTCTATTATAGTTTGTATTCATTTTTACTCTTGGTTTTAAAACTTTCAGTAAAATTATATTAAAAAAAAATTGACATATAGATCTGGTTGAAGCAATGATAGAAAGGTATGGAAAGGTATAGTAAATGATGTTGCTATAATCTAGATTTAAATCTTTCCATTTCTTTCTTCTTATAAATTATTTCAGGAGATTTTGTCAAATACAAATGTCATCCTGGCTATACCTTGGTTGGAAATGACATGATGTTCTGTAAGTTAAAAGCTCAACTTCAGTTTGAGGGTTCTCCTCCAATTTGTGAAGGTATGTATGCAATAACTATATGTAGGGATTATGAAAGAGTTTTTCACATATTGTATTTGATGTTTAAATTTGCTTTAAATCAACAATGTGATAATTAGGAAATATAATGAAAAAGTATGGGTAACATCAATATGCTAAGCAAGAAGAAACAGAAAAACTTTAGCTCTGAAGGGACAGAAATTGAATTATTTCAGAGTAAGTATAAATAAGAGCAAAATACTGTTATCACAGAACATTGTACAAATGTCAGAACCAAAATAATCAAGAGATTCTTGAAACTAAATATATAGTGTGAAGCACAACTCATTTTTAGTGATAGATATTGTGCCCTAAATAAGATGAGATGGTATAATATTAGAGACAGAAAATTAGGTGACAAAATATGAAATTGCATTTTGGATTTATATGAAAAACACAACAAATCTGACTTTACTGAACATTCTAGAACCATACTAATGGTTTGAGTATATGTGCCAGGACTTCCATATATACACAGAAGCTGTTGAATTCTGCTCTATAAAATGGCATATTATAGAAGTGTAAGTCATTGCTGTGGTACTTGATTAGTGAAACAGGCAACTTTTTTCCTCTTACAGTTTATTAAAAGTAAGAATATTTTACCTATGCTCACTGGTAACAGCATAAACACTTTAGCAGCTCCCTTCTCCTTATTTTGGTTTCTATGTGTACAGGGCAACCATTTCTATGGGGTAGCTTTCTCTATTCATGAAAGCTGTCCACATAATTAACTATTCTGAGTTATCAATCATGTTAATGACTATGCATAAACTAAATTCTTGACTGTAATGGCCACCTTCTACTCATGGAGGATGATATCATGGGGGTTCATCCCTTCTCTTCCTCCTGAATGCAAGTAGACTGGGTCCAATTTTAATAAGACTAAAGAGGGTTCATATGTCAAAGAGAAGATGACCAGTATGAAAGGAATCTCAAGTCAGAACTTTGAAAGTTTAGTTTTAACTGCATTCGAAGAGTAGTTTCCTGAAGAAGTAAAAATTGCCAAATACCAAATATTCCATTTGAATAGTAACAACTATAGAAATAATGGAACAATTATAACATTAGAATTATCATTTAAAACCAGATCCCAGTGTATACATACATACATACATACATACATACATACATACATGTTTCATATTTAAACTCATTTGCTTCATTGTTCACAATTCTTAAGTATAGGTAATCATCATTTACCAACCATTCACAGTTACAACAGTGATGAAGAAATAACTTTATGAGCAATCCTTGCATTTATGATCTTCACAGGTCTGTAAAGCAAAGGAAAGCTGAAATAAGATCATAAGCACAGTCATGGCCACTTTGCTTAATGACCAAGTTGCCAGTTTCAATTGTGGTTGCTAAATGAGGACTACCTGTATCCAGCAAATCCCTACCTAAAACTGTCTCAGTTTTGTATATTCACACTGACTCCAAGCTTTTCAACAAACTGAACTATTGTGAGGAAGGGGCACCTTCAGCCTGAAGGGCCTTAAATGAAGCCATTCTTTCTTCTCCAAAGCTGAAGCATCTCTCAGTATTCCTTTGCTTAAAGATGTACAACATCACATATTCCATCACAGCACCATAACATCCCATCAACAACACATTTACATTTGCATTTGCCGGGCTGTTCCATCCTAGCCCAATACCTGGGTGAAAAGCTGGGTTTTTGCACCCCTCCAGAAGGCTAATACATTGGGGGCCCTCCAGATCTCATGGGGAAGACTGCTCCAAAGGGTTGGGGCAGCCATGGAAGATTTGCCCTCTGGGGTCCCACCAGATTGCAACATTTATGGGAAGGGACCTGGAGCTTGCCCACCCTATCAGACTTGGTGAGATGGCCAGATACTTTCAGGGAGCTGTGGTCCTTTGGCATGTAGGCTTTTAAAGGCGATAACCAGAACCTTGAGTTGCACCTGGAAAGCAAATGGAAGCCAGTGCAGCTCACCCAGCAGCAGTGTAACAGGGCAAAACATGAAATACCCAGAACTGTGCATTCTGCTGCATGCTGGACCAGTTGTAACTTGCCTGTTGTCTTCCTCACATGCTGCATTTGAGATGCACGTGATATTTTTCACAAGGATTTCCTTGTACCTGGCACCACTATCAACTCAGAATGCTATATTCTGAGTTGATAGTGATGCCAGGTGCAAGAAAATCCTTGTGAAATATACCATGCACATGTTAAAATGACAATTAAGCAGAATTTGGAAGCACAAGGACATTTTGCTGCAACATGACAGTGCTACTCCTCACACCTCACAAGCCACTATGCAACTGCAAAGTTGGATCTCACCATCTTCCCCCATCCACTAGACAGTCCAGACTTCATGCCCAGCAACTTCTACGTTTTCCCCAAATTGAAGCAATACTTTCATGGGCATCTGTTTGACTCAAGTGACAAAGTGAAAGGACTGTTTGGACTGTTTGAAGAAAAATAGTATGGACTTCTTTTGTGATGGCTTTAAGAAACTTGTCAATCATTGGCAGAGGTGTGTAGCCAATGGTGGTGATTATGTGAAGAAGAAAATTCAAGTAACAAAAGAGCTTATTTCAAGGATTATTTTTCTATGTTATTTATTCAAATATCCCTATTTAAACTAAAATTATGGAGGAGGAGACATTATTTTGTATTCAACCCTCATATACATATACAGGTAGTCCTTGATCTTCAACCATTCATTCAGCAACTGTTCAAATGATGGTTACAACCAGTCCTTGGAGTTCTGGCCATTCCAGCACCCCTGAGGTCATGTGATCATGATCTGGGAACTTGGCAACTGGCTCGCACTTATGACTGATTACAGCGCCCCACAATTGCTATTTGCAGCGTTCCCTGCCGGCTTCCCCAGAAAGTCAGTGGCAAGGAAGGTCACGAGTTGCTGGAGTAAATCTCCCCCACCTGCACACCCTCCCCCAGCCCTTCTCCACTCGTGCTGTGCCAGCCACTCACGCACTCCTGCATCCAGAAGTCTCGCCATTCCTCCCTGCCACCCATACACCCCCCATACCCTCCCTGAGCCTTGCCATGCCTCCCTCACATCTCTGCATACCCTCCCTGACCCTCACTGCACCCCCCTCACACCCTCACCCACCCCCATGCAACCCTGTACACTCTCCCCCAGCCTTGCCATACCTCCTTCACACCCCCTCACACCTCCCTTGCACCCTCACCACACCTCCCTTGGACCCTTGTGCCATCCCTCACCTGGCAGAAGCTGCCCAGGAGGGATGTGTGATTAGGTCTGGGCAGTGGTTAATTCTTCCTTGAAGGAGTGGGTGGTTCCACCAGCTCTTAAGGAGATGACTGTGCACCCCCTTCTCAAGAGGCCATCACTTGACCCCAACCAGTTTGAATAGTTTGTGTCCAGTTTCCAACCTTCACTAAGGAAGGTTGTGGAGGAGGTAGTTGTACTGCAGCCTCAAAGAACTCTGGGTGAAACAGTTTATCTGGACCCCTTTCAGTCAGTATTCAGGCTGAAGTATGGGATGGAGATGACATTGATCGTGCTCTTGGATGACCTCTGGTGGAAGCAGGATGGGAAGCAGGATAATACATCCATCCTAGCATTTCTTGACTTCTCAGTGGCTTTCGATACCATCAATCATGGTATCCTTCTGGACTGGCTCTGGGAGTTGGGGGTGGGTGGCACAGGGCTGTGTTAGTCCTCCTTCTGGGGCCGGTTCCAATCAGTGTTATAGGCAGGGAGAGATCCAGTTCATAGCCCCTACCTTGTGGTGTACCTCAGGGTTCGGTTCTTTCTCCCCTCCCGTTTAATATCCACATGAGGCCACTGGATGAGGTTATCTGGCAGTTTGGGGTGAGGTATCACCAGTATGCTGATGATACTCAGCTTTATATCTCCACCCCAGGCTTCCTCAGTGATGCCATGGACATCCTGTCCCAGTGTCTGGAGGCTGTGGGGACCTGGATGGGGTGCAACAGGCTTCAGCTTAACCCAAGCAAGACTGAGTGGCTTTGGGTGTATGGACCTTCTGGTGCCAGGGATTTTCCATTGTTGGTTGTGGATGAGGTGGCATTGCCTCAGACAGGACTAGTGCACAATTTGGGGGTCCTCCTGGACTCATGGATCCTGCCTGAAGAGCAGGTGGCAACTGTGGTTAGGATGTCTTTGCACACTTTCAGGTTGTGCACCAGTTGTGTCCATTCCTGGCCTGGGAGGTTCTGCTCACTGTCACTCATGCTCTTGTGACCTCCCATCTGGACCACTGCAATGCACTCTACATGGGGCTGCCCTTGAAGAGAATCTGGAAGCTTCAACTGGCAGGATGGGCATGCTTTGGGTCCCATTGGTTAAGGAATGCTTGTTGGCAGGACCTAGAAGACATACCTTTTCTGCTGTAGTGGCCACCTTATGGAACATTCTCCCTTCAGAGATCGGGTTTTTATAAGTCCTTAAAGACCTGGCTTTGTGTCCAGGCCTGGGGTCCCAAGTGTGTTCAGGAACCCATTTCATGTTTAATTTTGTTATTATAATGGGTGCTTTATTTTTGGCTGCTATGTATTTTAATGTTTGTATTATTTCAATCGTTTTTATTTTTAAATTTTTGTTCACTGCCCAGAGTCTCTTAGTGAGGTGGGCGGCTATGCAAATTAAATAAAGAAAGAAATATTCAGAAAACATTAATATTTCCTATGCAAAGAACCCACTAAACGGGTCAGTAGGTATCTTTATTCCCTTTCAGCATGCCCTCAAAACTTTTGGAGGATTGCTTATTGGAACTTTTAAGATAATTTATTCTTTTTTCATGAGAAACTATATAATTAAGCTCCACCATGTTCTTATCAGGAGAGTCAAGATACTCCATTATTCCTACAACAGCAGATTTTAATGCTTCTACAGAGAATGTTAATTGCTGAAACTCTATCATTTTATAATGCTTTAAATCATGCAAAAGGGCTTTTAAATTACAAACACTTAAAGCTGAGACATCTCTGGAATCTCTTGAATTTCTCTTGAAGCTTCAGGAGTTCCTCAGAATCTGGAGAAGAAATTATTTCAGCTTCAACTTCTTTCTGTTCTGTTTCATTATCTGGGAGGGAATAGAACTTAAGCTCTTCTTCATTTGAGATTTAGAACCCACTTTTCACTCAACTTCATTCAATTTTTCACCCTGATATTGTTGGCCCTAAAAGTTTCAAGACACTTTTTGACATCTTCCAACTTTGCATTGCAGGGATGCTAAAGGCAAGATAGTATTTTTCATTACTGTTCAAATTTTACTATTAGATAAAGTAAAAATAAAAGTCTAATGTTTGAAATCTCATTGTAAGACTCTAACACTTTAAAATGTTCTGTCCAGCTTTTACTTTCTCCTCCTCCTCCTCCTCCTCCTCCTCATCATCATCATCACCATCATCATCATCATCACCATCATGGCTTACAAGTGAATAAAGAAATACTGTACTATTTTCATTTCCTATGTGTATGTTTTCTTTCTTCAGTTATCTTGCTAAACATTATCATTATAGTGTAAAATCTGAAGTTCTTTCAAAAATAAATATATATGCCAGTCTATTGTCTATTCACTTCATATGTGAATCTAAAATATTCAGACTGCTTTGATCAGCTGAGATTTTCCTAGTTTTTATGCATGGAACCAAGCGTCTATAGCATTCGGAAGAATAACTGGCTATTCTTCTGAGAATAGGATAATCCTAACAACTTCTAGGGGACTAAGCAAATATATGTGATTTCATGATAAATTTACATAGACTTTTTTGTTTCATGACAATTTATTATTCATTACATCACTGAAAATAGATTCAAGCAAAATAGATTCAATTAAATATTATTCAGAGAGGAATATTCATTTAATTTTAGTTCATCATCAAGGTAAAGGTATTTTATGTATTCAGATCTAGTTTCTGAAGCATGTGTGATTTTATGAAAGTAACATCTGGTTTATAATATATCTTGTTTCATGGAAAGAATCTGCATTTTGATTGATTTTGCTTCAATAAGCAATACATTTCAAAACTGGATTAAACATCTTTCTTCATATTTATGAAAAAAAATGGCAATTTAAGAAAATAAACTCCTTTATTTTTTTTTCCTGTTTTTCCTGCCTCCCTTATATTTTATAGCACAGTGCCCAGCAAATGAAGTCCATACAGATTCATCTGGAGTAATCCTCAGTCCAGGTTATCCAGGCAGCTATCTCAATTCACAAACTTGTGCCTGGACTCTTAAAGTTGAACCAAATTATAACATCTCTGTTTTTGTAGAAACATTTCAAAGTGAAAAACAATTTGATGAGCTGGAAATCTTTGATGGTGAGATATATTTTATTTGTTGATTCAGTAATGTGGAAGGAATTAAACTTCAGGTGGCCCTCATTATTCATAGTCTCCTTATCTACGGTTTTGCATGTCTGTGGTTGGAAAATAAAGACCAGACTTTGGTATCCATGATAAGGGGTTTCACATAGCTTCAGGTTATGTCATGTTTTTGTTTTTTTACTGAAGCACTAAATATCAGTCAGCTTTTTGCACCTGTGTAAAGTAATTTTTTTTCATGGCCTTGTTCTCCATAATCTCATTATCTAAATCGATAATATAGAACCTCTGCAATAACAAGGAGCACCTCTAATATTAAATTGTGTATTTTGGTGTTTATCAAAAAAATAGGTGCATATCTTTTAGCTCTGAGCAAAGTATTCAAAAGGGATACTTTGAAGCATGCATTGGTGGAAGTGAAGCACCCATTCCTGAAGCATTAAAGAAGCTACATCCTTTGGAAGATTCCAGCATTTCTTTCAGAGTCTGTCCCCAGCTCTCTATAGATGCATGTAAATGCAGTGTTGGTTTGCTTTGCTGGTGGTCCCAGTAGAATGTTGGTTCTGCAGGCACAAACTGGGGACAACCTTTGAAGCAGCTATGGAAGAATTCCAAAGGGCACAGCTGCTTTTGTGCTTCAAGGAGGAATATTTTCTCACACTAATCTGCTTTGCAGAGAGCCTGTTTTAAATGTGTTACACTCCCCTAACAGATTTATTCACATCAACCCTGCAGAAATGTGATTTCTTTTTGTCGATTATTTTTAGCCTTTGAAAAAGGGTTCTTTTCAAAGGAACCAGCCCAATGCTTCTTATCCTCATTTAGTCATCCTACATTGGCTAATAATCTAATTGTCTACTTAATATTTTAGTTTTTTAATGTTTTGGTTTTGTTTTATTTTGATTTGTTTGGAGACATGCTATATCATGGCCTCTGTCTGTACCAAACAGGTTGATATTCCCATGAAACCTAACTTTTAATTTGATGTGAAAAGTTTCAAGCATCTTCCACCATGCGTCCTTATAATTTTTTTCCAGTTTCTTCCCAAACAAGTCTGCATATGTACCTGTTATTTCTGTTAAAATCAAAAGATCTAAGATCTTCCTACCTTATTTCCTTCAACAAATGTTACCCGCTGAAAGCAGTTTACTATCATGCAAGTTTCAAGTCATACCTTTAATGTCTTTGTGTACAGAAAAAATAGATTCTCACATGAAAGCATTCTGGTCTGTTGTTCCCATGAAATAATGTACCGAGCAAAATACAGAGTGGGAACCATGTTTTTTAACTGGGTAAAATCAGTTTCATAGATATCACCTGATATCTATTAAAAAGAAATATTACTAATACCTTATAACACCTTATTATAGAATTTGGTGCCAAGTCTATGCTCTGACGGATGCAAATAAAGCACCACATCTTCAAATTAGTCTAAATTACATGAATCCTCATTGGAATTCAGACCCCATTTTAATTTCTCAAGCACTGGTAGCAATATCTCTTTAGTGTTATTACAATAATTATTATTTCAAGGTATTTCCAATAACCCTAATGTATGTGACTGGATTAGGCTATTAACATTTTCATATATGTTGTTTAGGTTCTTCTGGACAAAGCCCTTTGTTGGTTGCCTTGAGTGGAAATCATACTGGACAACTTAACTATACAAGCAAATCCAATCAATTATATCTGCGTTGGTCAACTGACCATGCAACTACTAAGAAAGGATTCAAGATACGTTATTCCGGTTAGTAGTGAATTTATCATTAAAGTCCTGTTTATAATGTGCTCATATAGAAAAGATTTATTCGAATGTACAGAGAGCCCATATCACTAATTCATAAATACTCCTTGCAACTCCTCTGGGTTAACCTACCTGATGTCTACCTAATTAGTAGAGCTACTGATAAACTATAGACACCTACTGAGCCTCTCCAGAACTTTACCAGGTAGAACAAATTATACTGGGCTGAAATAACCAATTATCTTATTTAAAATTATTTTGTCCCTACATTAATGTGTCCCTGTGTTCAAATGCCAGTTTTGTCTCATTGTATTTCTGCTTTAATATTTATATGAAATATAAATGTTACACACAACCCCCACACACATATGCACAGAGACATAAAATAGTTGAATTTATAACTTTTTTTACAAAGATTCTCATTAAATTTCTAGCTTCTGACTTAAATATATTAATATTTCAGCTGCTGTCTATCTTTCAGTGTGCTCAGGAATTCCAAATAGTTGTTGGTTCCATTGAAGTAAATGATTGCTCTCACAATAATGAAATATTTCATGCATATTTAATACTCATTATTTTATCACAAAGCTGAGCCAAAATGTTTAGCTTAGTTTAACTTAACTACTCACAGAGGAGGGGAGGATCATTTCCCAAAAGTTTTTGAAAGAGAGGGGAGCTTACATTTGTAATTATTTTTGCTCACCTTTTTAAAAGCATTGTAGCCTCTTAGTGGTCTCAGAGATGCTTTTTCTGGATTAGAGTATTATGGAAATAATACTGTTTTCTCAAAAAAAAAAAAGGGAAGGGAGGGAGGGAGGGAGGAAAAGGAAGGAAGGAAGGAAGGACGGAAGGAAGGAAGGAAGGAGGGAAGGAAGGAAGGAAGGAAGGACGGAAGGAAGGAAGGAAGGAGGGAAGGAAGGAAGGAAGGAAGGACGGAAGGAAGGAAGGAAGGAGGGAAGGAAGGAAGGAAGGAAGGACGGAAGGAAGGAAGGAAGGAGGGAAGGAAGGAAGGAAGGAAGGACGGAAGGAAGGAAGGAAGGAGGGAAGGAAGGAAGGAAGGAAGGACGGAAGGAAGGAAGGAAGGAGGGAAGGAAGGAAGGAAGGAAGGACGGAAGGAAGGAAGGAAGGAGGGAAGGAAGGAAGGAAGGAAGGACGGAAGGAAGGAAGGAAGGAGGGAAGGAAGGAAGGAAGGAAGGACGGAAGGAAGGAAGGAAGGAGGGAAGGAAGGAAGGAAGGAAGGACGGAAGGAAGGAAGGAAGGAGGGAAGGAAGGAAGGAAGGAAGGACGGAAGGAAGGAAGGAAGGAGGGAAGGAAGGAAGGAAGGAAGGACGGAAGGAAGGAAGGAAGGAGGGAAGGAAGGAAGGAAGGAAGGACGGAAGGAAGGAAGGAAGGAGGGAAGGAAGGAAGGAAGGAAGGACGGAAGGAAGGAAGGAAGGAGGGAAGGAAGGAAGGAAGGAAGGACGGAAGGAAGGAAGGAAGGAGGGAAGGAAGGAAGGAAGGAAGGACGGAAGGAAGGAAGGAAGGAGGGAAGGAAGGAAGGAAGGAAGGACGGAAGGAAGGAAGGAAGGAGGGAAGGAAGGAAGGAAGGAAGGACGGAAGGAAGGAAGGAAGGAGGGAAGGAAGGAAGGAAGGAAGGACGGAAGGAAGGAAGGAAGGAGGGAAGGAAGGAAGGAAGGAAGGACGGAAGGAAGGAAGGAAGGAGGGAAGGAAGGAAGGAAGGAAGGAAGGAAGGAAGGAAGGAAGGAAGGAAGGAAGGATACCCTACACATATACCCACGCACAAACAAAAAACGATGCAACCAAAAGTTTTGTGCAGCACTGCTGGGAATGAAGGAACTGTATTCCATTACTGTAACTAACTATATGTGAATGACTAGAGATCATTAGTCCTTGATTATTTTAATTTTCTACTACGCCTATATTTTATATGGTGTGTTATATCTGAATGATAATATGGTTACTGGTGGAGCCAGAAAATCAACAACCAGAAAATGTACATTTGGATGATGGATGATTTTATTTTTTTAAAATAATAATTTTATTAGAGTTCACAAATGCAAAGATAAAAAACTAATACAAATTAAGGAAAATATAAAAGGTAAGAAAAAAAGTGCAAAGAGATAGAAGAAAGAAAAGAAAAGAAAAAGTGAACATATAAAAGATGACTCCTCCCTCACCCTGGACAAGTATAAACAATTTCAGTAACATAATACCTCTTCTAGTATTTCAATAAAGAAAAAAGAAAAAATATCTCTTCTTCCCATTTCTCATCCCTTATCAATAATCAGATTATAAAAACTCATCATTCAATGGATAATGGATGATTTTCAAAGACACTGCTCCCTTTTCTACTTCTGTGAATTCTTTTGACTGCGAGAAATTGAAGCATTTGTATGATTTCTTTGCCATATTCTTAACCTACAGAAAATATTCCGATGTATTATGAAATTGATACTTTTTAATGTGAAAGCAATCTAAATATAGGCCGTGTGTGTGTGTGTGTGTGTGTGTGTTCATTTCCTAATTGAAAGCTACTTACAATTCTTATGTATGTATGTGTGTGTGTTGATGTATCCAGAGAAAATTGCAGAATAATGTCTCAGTGGATTGCAAATGAAAAGCGGAAAAGAAAAAAAAAAAAAAGATGAGAAACTTGATGTAGGGAAAAAGGCTATCGGTATTGTTTGCCTGGACCATCTTTGCTAGTGCCACTGAACAGCAATCTTAATATCTTCAATAGGTTACTAGCAATAGTACAATACAATACAATAGGTTGATAGCAATCTTAATATCTTCAGTAGGTTACTGTTTTATACACTGCTCTTAGCATAATAAGCTCTATGTAATGACCAGTTATATAAATGGCTTAATATAAATATATGTTTTTATAGATTTTGGTCCTGAAATGGATTGTTTTAAGAAAACTGCATGATGAATATGCCAAAGTCAGAAGATTTCATTTCTCACTTTCATTTTGGCCAAATAGGCAGTGTCACTGGTAGACTTTTTCCTTCCAGAATTATTTTGCAGTTTTACTTAGATTAGTCTTAAGTATAATTCTGACTGATTATCCTACTGAAAGATATATTGTCAATATAGTTATGATTTTATATTTATAAACAAGTATGTTGAGACTCCAACTCTATAATGATATATATCCTGAGTTTGCTTTTTTCTAGTCACGTCTCCCATTCCCAAGATGTGTGGCAAATCAAGGATATTCTCTGCCTTCTAAATTGACATGATATTATTTAACAAGCTTAGCTCTAAAGTTGCCTTCTCAAAGAAAGAAAGACATTATTCTGAAATTGTGAATAAAATGTATTTTATTGAATAGCTATCTTTTTGTCTTTCAAAGTATTAGCAATAGGTATGTAATGTTGAATGTTGAGATATATATATATATATATATACATACATACATACATACACACACACACACACACACACATACACACACACACACACAGACATTATATATAATTTTGTGAATGTTGAGAATTTGGAAAAGAGATATCAAGCACTGTTAATTTCAAACTACAAAGGAAAAACTTTTTAGGATACAAATGTATTTAACTTTATACATAAGGAAAGCAACTCAATGGAATTGCTCAGATTAAACTTTCTCCTGTTTCACAAACAGCATGACCTGAAAAGCTGCATACTTCTCTTCATGTCATGTAAGTTTTACATCAGATGCAGGAGAGACAGTCAGCAGGAGAAAGGAATAACAGCAAGCAGCAGAGTAAGCAACTAGGCTTGAATCTTAATAAGGAAAGTCAGTAGGATGAAAAATGGGAAAGAAAATGGGGCCCCAGAAAAGCTATTGATGCTATGGCAGCTGTGATGGAGCCAGCAGGCCACCACATAACTATCAGTCTATTGGAATGATTTACTGCCTCCCTGCTTTCCTCCTCGTTTCTACAAACGTGACTTTGCACAAGGTTTGGCAAATAGCATATGTCCAGAACATTTTGTGAAGTTTGTTGAAGTATTCAGTGACAGTTTCTAAAATCAAAAGCATTGTGGGAGAATTTAGTTCTGTTATCACAAAATGTGAGCCTAATGAAGATAGAAAACTATATCTGGTAACATTCAGATGCACCTTTCAGTGTACACTTGTAATGGCATGTGGGAATGACCTTGGGAGACAGAAGGAAGAGCCGCAGACTAGGCAGTGGTCAAATAAGGGGCAGCTGAGCCTGCAGAAGGAATGGGGGCATGGCAAACATCTCAGAAGGACCCTCTCTAGTTTCTTGGACTGTAAGGGCAAGGGGGGAGAGATGTACTTTCAGACTTGCAAGATTCTGTTAATGCAACTTTACAGTAAAGTTAGAGCTAGAACTTCTGGGTGTGCTTCTTGTCTGAAGTACTTTGCAAGGCTGACAAGAATGCACATGGATCAATTGGGGGGGGGAGGTGCCTTTGAGTCAGTGTTGACTCCTGGCAACTGCCTGGACTAGTTGCCAAGATTTGCAGAAGTGGCTTGCCAGTGGCTTCTTCCAGTCTGAAAGAATGACTGGTCCAAAGTCACCCAGCTGGCTTCATGCCTGAGGTAGGGTCTCCTGGTTTCTAGCCTTAACCACCACACCACATCTCTAGATCAACTAAATAGATTATATCTGTAAAACTAAGATCAATATGTTATTTTACAGATGTAATCTATTTAGCTACAACACGTGAAACAGAATGACCAAATCTTTGAAACTGTGGATGTTCTAAACATTTTAGAGCTTTAGTTTTTATGGAGGTGGTTTCAGTAACAATGACAGTCATTCTACTACTAGATTCAGCTCCTCCCGCCATACTGTTCCAAACCTTTTCACAGAGATGTTTATATGCTAAGGTACCTTATATACCCATAAACAACAACAACTCCTCCTTTGTTTTTGATTAAATACCATTTTTAACATTAGAATTTTCACTCAAGTCCCCCTCATGTTCTTAAGTTATGTATTTCCAGAAATTTGTTACAAAACACTTTTGCATATACAGGTAGACAAAGCACTTGCAAATATATTAAGGAATTCTGCTGGCTAGATAAAGGAAAAAATGAGCAATAGAGAAGGGGAAGATAAATATCAGGTTGCTAAGCATTCTGTGATGACCTTCCCAGTGGTATAGATGGAAATATATCAGATTTCTCAACAGTAACCTGGGGGAAAGAAATGAAATATGAATGTTAACATTGAAATTTTGAAAAGAAAAGGGAACAGCAAAATAGGGGCTGTTCTATTTTCTGTTGACCCAATGACCCATTTAAAAAATAGAATCATTGCTCATCTAGCTCTCTTATAGAGCTCTACAGTTTTTCACAGGAATCTTTCACAGCAGTACCTGGAGATGTTGATATTGAAACAGAAATTTTCTTTAGAGAAAGCTCTGCTTACCATATAGCTATAGATCTTCCAGTGGGTTTATTCAGGACTGCTTGGATCCTTTGTTTGCATATCCATTCAATACTTATTCAGAATTTAATAATGATTGCAGAATACAGTGGCTCCAAAACTGAATTTCTATTTTCCATCTTTAATGATTGAGAAGTTGTGCTTGAAAAATATATTGACAATACCTGGTGTTAAATCTTCAAAGCCATAGCCAGGTGAGCAGGATTTCTTATGGTCAGAGATGTACCACAAGTATCCCCTGTGGCACTTTACTGAAGCAAAATATTTTATTCAGATTTTGAATAATGTATTTTGCATACTTTAGGATTGATTTTTTCTTGGCATAAAATGCATGTCTTTTCTGTCTTAAATACACCATGTTATATTTATGCATGGATGCTTTTATAACATAATGCTATGTATATTTTCTAAGAGGTGCATTCCTCTGTTACAATAGGTCTTAATTCTAAATAAAAACATATAGAATTTCAATTTAAATTCAAATGTAGCATTTCCATAACAAATATCTGTGTATAGGAATAGCAACACCATAAAAACTTAAAGAAAAGTTACCAATCTGAATGATATAGTCTTGACTGCTAGCAACTGACTTGAAAAGCTAATTGGTAAACAGGAGAGGTTCTTAGTTTTCCGCTGGGCTGTTTACACTTTCTATTGCAGCTTTTCTATACAGACAGTGTCACTTTATTATTCAGGCAGTTACAGATTATTTTTAGAAGAGGCTGTTCCATACAAAACAAGTGAAATGAAGAAAATTGGAAATGCCATTAATGCTATGACACAATTGTCAGATAAAAAAATTAGAACTGTTAGAAGACAGTGGTTATCCAAAACCTTCTTACTGAGAGATAAGTTTATTTCATTTTTTTTTACGTTTCCCAACTTTTCAGTATAAGTGACTGAAAAGAAGTCTATGGTTAATAACTACTAAGAATGAAAAGACCATGAAAGAGAAAAGCTCAAACAACTCTGATTACAAATAGATTGAAATTAAAGCACTTCATTATTCATTGTAGCATGGATAAGCCCCTACTAATGCTACATATGCTGATATATAAGAACTTTTTGCAAAGAAACATCTTTATTTTTTTAAAGTTATAAATGTTATTATTCCCCTGCCCTGTACTGGTTTCAGTTTATCTCTACTCATCTGCAAGCTGGAGAACAGAATCTGTGCATTATGTGTTCCTTAAGGTCATACATGGAACAAGTTTGTTTGTTTAAGAAAATATGGTTATGTTCGTACAGAGCAGAATTTTTGGCAGAACCAATAGAAAGTCATTCATTACAGTAGATAGTTTTCCATTTTTTCCACTTTCTAGTGACTTTTTGATTCCAGTGTTCCTTTTAAAGGACATGGGAACTTCTCAGATTCTACCCATGCAACAGGACTTCCCCTTCTTTTTCTCCCCCATTGCCTCAGTCCCTGTGCATGCACCAAATATTCCTGACTCCCAGAGCATATTTGGATGTCTTATACAATTCTGCTGGGAGAGAGGGAAGAAGCTATAGAAAAGGAACTGGAACTGTGAGATATCTTGAGCCAAACGTGACATCCTAAATATGTTCACTTTGCATTTATAGAAGAGTATGGCATAAAAAGGTAACATTCATTTGATTTACCAGTTACAGCCCTCTCTGGACTAGGATGCCCTTGTGACTGTATCTCATGCCTTAATCAGCATGAGGCTGGACAGCTACAATGCACTAAGTCAGGCTGCCTTTGGAGATAACCTGGAAGCTGCAGCTGATGCAAAATGCAGCAGGCAGGTTGCTGGTGGAACAATCCTGCCAGTGTAGAATAAAACCTATTTTAGAGTTGTTGCATAGGTTAATACTTCCAGGTCCAATTCAAAGTGTTTTGAACCTCTAAAGCTCTACACTGCACAGCTCTGGAATACTCAGGCAACACCTTGCCGGAAGTGAGTCTGTTGATCTGGTATGGCCATTGAGAGAAGAACTGTTGAGAGCCCCCCTTCCTTGCAAGGTAAATAGTGTGCGGACAAGAAAACAGGTCTTCTCTGAAGTAGCCTCCACTCTGTGTAACTCTTCCTCTTTGGAGATATGAGCCACTCCAACCATCCTTGCTTTTCAGAACCAAGTGAAGACAGTGTTATTCCATCATGGGTTTGGTCACAGCTGACTGTGAAGAAGGAGGAAGAGGAGGAGGAGGAGGAGGAGGAATAATCTGAATATTTGATTACTGACTATTCCACTGATTGATAGCTCTTACACTCAAAAGGTCTTTCTAATGTATAATCTCTATCTACATCATTGAAGTTTCATCCTATTAGTTCTAGTCTTACCCTTTGGAGCAAGTAAGAATAAGCCCAAACCCTTTACAATGTGACAGCCCTTCATACATTTGAAGACAAGTATCATGTCTCCTCTCAACCTTCTCTTCTACAAGCTAAACATACCTAGGTCTTTTAATTGTTCCTCACAGGACTTGGTTTCCAGTCCTTTCATCATCTTGGTAACCCTTCCCCAGATTTGTTCCAGTTTATCAATGGATTTTTTTTAAAACTGGGGTGTGCAGAACTGAACACAATACTCCAAGTGTGGCCTGAGCAAGGCATAGAAGAGTGATCTGGACTCTATGTTCCTCTTGATGCTCTTCAAGATATTGGCCTTCTTGAAGCTGTATTACATTGTTGGGACATGTTGAGCTTGTGATCCTCTAGTATATCCAGGTCTTTCAAACATATCCTGCTCTTGAGCCAGATTTCACCTATCCTGTTTCTTTCTTTTTTCTTACCATGACTTTACATTTCTCCCTGTTAAATTTTATTCTATTTGTTTCTGCCCACTGTTCTAGCCTGTCTAAACCTTTTTGAATTTTTCTTCTTTTTTTGCCAAGTATTACCCATCCCTCCTAACTTTGTATCACCTGCAAATCTGGTAACCAATCCCATCACTTCCTCATCCAAGTAATTTATAAAAACGTTGAACAGCACTGGGCCCAGGACCGAGCCCTATGGCACCCACTCAAGATGTCTCTTCCAGGAGATTTGATGGCCTTAGTTTTTCTCATGCTAAATCTGCAGTTTCTGCAAACTGGTTTGTATTCTTCTTTGAATATATTCCCCTCTCTCCATTTCTTGTACATTTTTTTAATTAAGTCCTGTGCGGATCCAGTTTGGTCTCTTTAAGTACTTCCCATTCTTCCTTCTTGTAAGAATTGTTTGGGCTTTTATCTCATTTTGCAGACGCTCCCATCCTTCTTGGATATTTTTCTCCTTTAGGCTATCAAGCCATTGGATCCTTCTGGCCATCCTTCTGAGTTCATCAAGTCTAATATTCTGAAGTCTAATATTGATTTGTGACTGCAGTTTCTCCTCCCTGTGCTGTCTGAAAATTCAGAACAGCATGGCCACTGTCTCAGGATCCCAATTACTTTTATTTCTTCAACCATTTCCTCCATGTTGGTGAGGATTAGGTCAAGAATAGGAGTCTTGAAGACATATGTCAGATAATTTTTGGCTGGATTTTAGATTACCGGTTTATATTTGGAATATGCTAGGTTCCATATGCTATTTCAAATATGCTTTATGGTAGACTAAGAAATATTTCAAAAGGTATGCTGCTGATTCCGCTAGGTTTTGTGATATGTCTTCATCTTGTGACATATTTAATTATATTTGTGCGTAAATACTTTAATTTGTAATATCACATTTGTACGCTTTCCTGAGACACCAATGTTCACTGTCCTGATATTAAAGTTTTCCACAAAAAGCTTGCTATAAGTCATGAAAAGTCTTTAACTGGTGCAGATTAGTGCATTTATTGATAATCGGCCACGTAAAGTTCAAAATTCAACTATGATTTACTTTATTTATTTATTTATTTATTTAATATTTTACTTTAAGTAAGGGGAAACAAATTACTAAGCAGTTTTTTAAATATACGTATATCTCCTGTCTGTATAGTAACCCTGGTGCAAGTGAGTGTAGTGTAGCAGTTTATTTAATACAAGAACCTGGAAACAGCCCACATAGATCTGCCAGATTTAATATCACCTCAAATACAGGATGAGACTTTATAGTGTCAGAGAGCGCTCCTAGAACACCCCAGTACTGTGTGTATATACCATTTGATTAAGATCATCAAGGTTTTTTACATGCAAGTATTTCAACAGCTTTAATATTTCCATAAACAAATTTGTAATTGAAATTTAAAATTTAATATTGGATTTAAATGCTTCTTGTTATTTCTGTTGCACTTCAATAATAATCACGTGTTCAGTAGATAGCTCAAGAGAAGCTGAAAGATACATTTCTTAAATAAAAAAGATCTGGTATTAATCTCTAGACTGGAGATATAAGTGGTGAGTTCAGTGTCATTCTTTGTGGCTTTCAAAGAAATTTTGATTTTAGAAGAGTTCTCCTCTGTCTTTTGATAATATATTACTTTTAATTTTATTACTTTGATCTGTTTAATTTAGTTGTTCATTTTTAATCCTGTATAGCTCCTTACTGCAGCTTAAATCATATTGTGAAGAATGGTGGAATTGTAAATAAAACCAAGGGCACAGTTGGCAGTACAGTTCACTACTATTGTAAGTCTGGATACAGGATAATTGGTCACAGCAATGCAACTTGCAGACATCAGCCAAATGGCATGTACCAGTGGGATTCTCCTCCACCTCTTTGCCAAGGTAAGACTTCACTTAAAATACATATTTCATTGTGATATCATAGTATTTAGGAGCTGAAGAAATTCTGATCCCAGATGTTAGTTTTTCCAAGATAGTTATGTAATGTACCATTTGAGTTTCCAAGTCAACAGAACAGAAAGATTCTCTATGGCATGCTGCAAAAAGTGTTCAATTAATATGGGAACTGAAACATTGAAGAAGAAAAGAAAAAGAGGTTTTCTTTAGCAAAGGTTCAAGCCATTATAAAACTTTAAAAGCAATTCTAACCTTGAAATTTCTGTTGATAATAAAAGAATGAAAAAAATTGCTTGCAAACTGTGCCAACAAGCAAGATTCCATGATAAGTAAGATTCCCTGTCAGGAGAAACTAATGAGAAAAAGAGATCAGGTTGGATGGGAGCTCCAAAAAACAGAGACACTAAAAGTTCAAGTCCAATGAGGAAGAACAGTGGATTGAGTGGAAAGAACCAAAGTGGCTGTTCAAAAAGCTTAATGAAGATCTGAAAACTGAGGGAACTTATTGAAGGCATGGCCAAACTTCCCTTCAATATCTTTGAGGAATCCTAGAGTGAAGTGTCAGCTGACTGCAGAAGGGCAACCCTTTCCCCTATATTCAAAAGGGAGAAAAGTAGGACTTACGTAACTGCAGTTTAATGTAGGAAGTATCTAGAACAGTCCTTAAAAGGCTGGTGTGGGTCTTCCGGGCTGTATGGCCGTGTTCTGGAAGTTTTGTTTCCTAACGTTT